ATGTCAAGACAAAGAAAGATTTCAGCATTTTTTGGCCAAGGGCAACCAGAAAACAATGCTGAAAACACAGAAACCGATGAAGCTGAGCCTGGAAAAGATCAGGGGAGTGAACCGAAAGCTAAAGTTGCAAAGCGAAACTTTCAAGATTCCTGCCTTGAAAAATACAAATGGTTGAAGTACGATCCAGCGAAGGGTACCCCTATGGATTTTCCTAAGATCACAGTCTTATGTTCTGTTCGTGTTGCCAACAATCAGGTAAATCCAATCCTTTCACCAGTGGTTGCATAAACTATGGGACTTCAACACTAGTTCGCCATATAGAAAGTCAAGACCACCGAAATGCTCTTCAAGAGATCGAAATGGCCGAATCTTTTCAAGAAGCTGTCATGAATTCTGTTTCATCCCAGGAGCAAGCTGTGGTTAGTGGAATGAGAACTGTTTACTGGCTTGCCGAGGAACATATTGCTACTGAGAAATATAAATCTTTGATGAATATTTTAAAAATGCAAGGATGTAAAGACATTGAAAATCTTAATGTAGCGAAAAATGCCTCATACAATTCAGTTCAAACTGCTAAGGACTTCCAGTCAGTCATTGCTGAATGCGTTCAAGATGAAATAACTGAAAAGCTACACAAGTATTCATTTGTAAGCGTTATGGCAGATGAGAGTACTGACATTGCTGTTTCAAAGAAACTGTTAATTTATGCCAAATTGATATGTGATGGTATTGTCCCAGAGACACATTTTCTCACAAACATTACCATTGAAGAGGAGCAGTGTACAGCACCTGTTGTGACTCAGAAAATACAAAATGTTATTGCTGCCCGTTCCATTCCTGTTGATAAAGTAATGTGTTTTGGAAGTGATGGGGCTTCCATCATGACAGGAAGAGTTGGGGGAGTGAGCACACTTCTCAAGAAAGAGAACCCATTTATGATAAATATCATTGTATGGCTCACCGTTTAGCATTAGGTACTAGCCAAGCTGCCAATCAAGTAGAAAAAATGGAGAAGTACAAACAATTGTTAACAGATCTGTACTATCACTTCTCTAATTCTGCAAAATGTGTTGCTGGGCTAAAGGCTATTCAAGAAATAGTAGAGAGCCCAAAGTTGAAGATAAAGGAGATGCATTCAGTTCCGTGAGTTGCTTTCTATAGTGCCCTAAAAACTGTTTACAGGTCCTGGCCCTTGTAACCTATTTTGCAAACCACAAGAAAGATGCAAAGGCAGTAGGTTTTCTCAACAAATTAACTCAGATTGAGAAGGAGGGCCTCCCAGGGGTTTTAGGGAACAAGGGAACATCGCCATTTACTTTTAGGGAACAAGGGATATTTCAAAATAACTTTTAGGGAACAAGGGAACTGTTGAGGGATATTCGGGAACAAGGGAACATTGACTTTCGACCATTTTCTAACTTTTGGAGAGATTTCCATTAACTGTTTATGAAGACATTTCCGACGTTTCTGTAATTTCACGCATTTCCGACTAAGCCTGGCGACTAACCTTCACAAGTGAACTGGTGACGACTGGGGACGAGTTTAGAACGCGTGGGAACCTTAGGAGAGACTCCATCGGGTGGACCGCCATTTTTATGGTAATTTTCTCTTTGGTGTTCCATGTCTAGAAACGCTAACCATTTATTAATAAATGGCAACGGAAACAGAAGGAATTCAAGCTCAATCTACGAATAACCAACCAACAATGATCATGCAATAGCATTCAGTGACACTGGAGATTGCAAGGTCAAGGTCATTAATCCTGCCACAAAGGAATGTTTCGTGCTGGTTGGTGACGGACAGGGCACAAGGGATGGAAGCAAGGCACAGCTCTCTCAGCCAACAGGAATATGTTTTGACATGAAAACGTTGTTTACTGTGGACACATCAACAGGTGCACTCCGGATGACGAGCAGTGTCAACAGTTTAGTGGAGTATTTGAAGTACCTACATTTGTTCGGAGAGACATTTGGACTTCACCTTAAAAAGGAAGCTCCTCTTGCCATAGAGATGACGCCAGCAATAGAGAGACTAGAGTTAGTTTATTGATTTGACCAAGAGTGCGTCGACAATGTCAAGCTTGTAACAGGCATGCATGGTGAAACACAAGGCCCTCAAGGAACTGTTTCTTCAGTTGTCATTGAAGACGAGAGACGATTACTTAAGTCACCACGTGAAATTAAGGTCCTTTTGGACCGATTTAGTCCTGGGTTGAGTGCTAGATTTAACATAAAGAGCATTTTGACCCCGTTTGTGGAAAACACGTTTTCTGAGATGAGAACGGGTGCCAGTGACATGCCGTTGCAGCTTGAATTTGACTACAGGTTCAGTAGAGCGATCAAAGAACGCTTAAAAAGACAGTGCTCTACACCATATTCATACTTTACTAGCTCTAGTTCATACTACCCACACACCTTTGTATCTGCAAGCTACTCTGACCTTCCGAAATTACGTCCCCCAAAGGCAAACAAGCTCGCGAGATGAGGAATTGGAGAGCTGTCCACGGTCAGAGTGTTCCGCAAAAAACGGTGCGCAATATGACGACCAAAGACAACCCAGGAACTCTCCCGATTAATCTATTTGCGGTGGGCCCACCAGATGTCCAGCCACTTGATTTAACCAAATTAGGAGACCACCATTCAGTGCAACAAATGCCACAGAAAGAAGTGACAGAGTTTCTGTACACGTCTAATCAGATAGTCTGTGTTAAGCATGACAAAGGGTGCCCTGAAAACACCTTGGTTCTCGCCTGTCTACAGGAGAATGTTAAATTTGGCATAAAAAAAGTGATGGCCAAAATTTTTGTTTAAGATCCTTTTAACCCAATATCCTTTTCGGAAAATTCAGAGAAATACATTGATGTAGATAGCATTATTTGTATCTTGAAGAAGAAGAGCTGATCCTACTTCAGGATGAAATTCAACAGACAAGTGATGTCCTCACTCTTACAGAGGCGACAGAAATTTCTGCTGATGAACCAGAGGTGATGCGGCATTCATCAAGGAGACGAAAGAGGCGTTTTGCTGAGGATTATCTCTACTATGACTATCGAGGTAAAACTTACGAAAACACTGACCATCGAAAACTGAAATATGATTGAAATTCTGGGGAACATTAATTAATATTTCTGGGGATCAAGGGAACATGCAACAGAATTTCTGGGAACAGGGGAACTTGATGAAAGTGAATTTCAGGGAACATCTTAATTTATTTTTGGGGAACAAGGAAAAAACTCCAATTTTTTCTACGGAACAAGGGAACATGTACCCCCCCCCCCCGGGAGGCCCTCGAGAATGTGGCAACAATGTATTACCTAATGGATATTATTCCCTGGGTAACACAGCTAAACAGCATATTTCAGAAAGAGGATCTAGATGTTTCAATCATCTAGGCGAGCATTTCCACCACCCTTACTGAAATTGCCAAAGTGAAGGAGGGAAGTGGCTACTATACAAAGAAAGTCAATGAATCTTTGAAACAGGATGAGTCTTGGAAGTGGCATATGGGTGCTGGTGGCCATGAAATTTCATATTCAGAAACTCAAAAAGGCTCAGGCTATCAAAAGCAGAGATGCCTTTATTGACAAACTCACCGAGCAGATAGCTGCTAGATTTCCTCAGGAATCACAGTATCTTGCTGATGCATTTGCAATCTTAAGTCTGAGAGGAGTGTCTTTCATGACAGCTGAAGACCTTTCGAATTATGGAAATAATAAGTTACTGAAACTGTTGAATCACTATGGATCCGACAAGGCAAATGTGGTCAGTGGAAGAGTAATTCCTGCTGTAGTTAATCCTATGAAAACCAAGATGGAATGATCTTTATTAAAGGATGTTGTTAAGGAGCAGCAGTAGCCAACTGGCAAGTTATCCATGCTGTGGAGTTGTATTTTCAAGTTTCATCCAGACACCTTTCCAAATTTGCTGAAGTTGGTACAGCTGGCCCTCACTCTTCCACTACAAACAGCCGATGTTGAGAGAGGATTTAGTGCTCAAAACTTAATTAAAACGGCCCACAGAAATCGAATGGAGGAAAGCACACTTGACAATCTCATGACAATTAGTGTAGAGGGGCCTGCAGTTGAGAGTTTTGACTTTAACAGAGCTGTTTTCCCATGGAAAAGAAAAACGGAAAGGAGTATTTTAAAGAAATGAGCTTTAAACTTGTTACTGCAAGGGTAGCAGCCCATCCACCCTAAACCTTTTAAAGTTTTAAAGCAATTTTCTCTTCCATTGAAGCAATAAAATTAAAACTGTTAAGCTTTGCTTTGACTTCGTCCAAATTAAAAACCAACATAACTTTAGGCTGTTCTTGTCTGGGAAAGAAATACAAAAATTCTGTTTCATCTGGTTTCTGTTCAGTGTTGAGACAGTTTAACTCAAGGCTGTGTACATACTGGAAACCCACAGATACTGATGCAGTGCTTGTTCCCCATCTTTTAAACAAAAACTGTAAACTCAAAGAGTGGAAGGAAGCTGTAACACATACAAGAACAGACAACACACAATAATTGTTTGTTATATTACTTTCTTTTCCATTTTTAAGATGAAAGTTTAAAAATATCTGTTGAAGCAAGGCAAATACATTTGTTAATGAATAACCTTACTCCTCTCTAAAAACAGACTTCAATTAAGTTGTGCATTTGTTTTGATGATAACAATACTGCACGAAAGTGATTCTATACCCAGTTTTGGTTTTTATATTAATTAGGTTATAAATTTAGTGTCCCTTAAAAAAGTGAAATGTCCCCCTGAAAATTGTTGACTCGGACACATTGTCCCCCTCGATGGAAATCCTAGATCAGACACTGTGATAGTACTTTTACATGTTACGTATTTTATACCGTTAAGGTATCAGTTGGCACTGAACTTTGTTTCAAGTATTGATCGCGTGAAAGAGTGTTGATTGTCCTCTTGTTTCCTTGACATTAGACCACGCCTGGTAAGTATTTTTTATTTTGTATTAAGTGGCCAGTTCCTCAAGTCCCGAGGGTGACAGTTACACACTGGTTATATACAGGTTCGACTGTATTTGGATCCCATTTACTAGTCTATGGCAGTTAGTCTAGAGCTTTGATGACCTGGCGTACAAACAGGCTGTTCCTTTCATTTTGGATAAAATATAGGGCCAACGATGCCTTTTTGGCATGAAGACCCCATTTTCAAGTAACTGGAAAATTGCCTGCCATTGATAGCGGCCGTAAATTCAGAGTGTCCCTCCTTTTTTCATGAAATGAAGGGAGAACAATGCATTAATGGTACGTTTCATTGTCAAGCTAATGTGAAACGTTCGTGCACTTTACTGAGCTGCCAACTGCCCTTTTGTTGGGGTGTTCCCCTATTTTCTATGGGATATCATTATTTAATAACTGCGAAATCACCTGGCAGTCCAAATGAATTGTTGAGAAATCTCTGTTTCCCTCCACTAGCTATATGTCTTCGTGGAATATCAGGACAAATGCGCTGGCCCCCATTTCGTGATGCATTGCGTTAAAACGTCTGGTCCTTGAATGAGTTGCTACGTAATGAGACCCTATACTTTCATATAATATTCTGTATTTTCTTGGGCTGCCGTAAACTGAAATTGTTTGTTTTTCACTTCAGTTATAGGGTCATGCAGCATATTCTGTTGATTCGCTCGCCACTCAGACGACACGTGTATTACTTTTGACTATTTTTCTGTATTTGCAATGACTAATTAAGAAATCATTTAGGCTAAATTGAAATACATGTCTCTACAAATCTTTAATTATTTGAAAATGGACGAGATAGAATGGGCAACACTACAAACTATTTGTCTTAACTCAGTTGTCCGACACAAAAATAATCAGTTCGTTCAAGATCACACTACCACCACAAGGATTATAATTTAGTCTATATTAAATGTACATTTACGGACTACACCTTACTGAGAGCCTATATCATATAAATTAATATTTCTGAAAACGTTGGCTTCACGCTCATCTAAAATAACAGAGCGCTTTTCCCTGGCTTTGATGAGGGACATACTCGAGGGATATACAAGGATATACTCGAAGGTGGTATCAAACCCACCTCATTAACATAAAAAAGCGTTTGTTTCTAGTTTGCCTATTGAATTATGTTATTACACTCAGAAATGTTTAGCATAATCTTTGATCAATTATAACATTTAGTTATATTCTATGAAATAAGCGATAGCTGTTAAAGTAATTCAGGCTGTTCGCAAATTAGATAAAAACAAAACATGAATTTAAATTGACCGAATAGTAGATGCTGTTTTTGTCAGTTAACATGTAGTATTTTGTGCTTCCTGGTCATCCTTTTATCACATATTCCATTTTCTTATTTGTTCTTAATTATTTTATTCACGTTTTTTTTTTGAAGGGGGCCTCAGAAATCCCCTCATTTGATAATGATAAAAGATGTTAAAAAGTCCAGTCTGAAGAATTTCTCATTTAATCCTCGTCTTCATCATCATCTCGTTCTAGATGACCATGACCCCAGAACAAACGCTCGCTATTTGTCGCAAGCAGTCTTGCAGACTAGGGCCTGAAATGACAAATAAGAGATTTAAAAAGTTACAACAATTAACTTAACAATTGTTTTAACTCTCAAGAGATCAGAAGTGTGAAATTGAAAAAACTAACCTCAGGAACTAAAACACGTAGGTAGGACGTAGTTCATAATGAGTGTGTTGGAGTCGTTGAACCCGGACCAGGTCTCAGACACAGTCCCTTTTATGTCGTTTGTGAACCTTCGCATTTAAAGTGTAAAAACGAAGGTAAACCAACAATATGAATTAATCATACGTTTACGAACGAAATTCGTTTTTATTAGGGTAAAAATTCTTTTAAAATGAAGCTGCAAACGTTAGATTTGCGAGGAAGAGGGTTAGAGACAACGCTGAATTCATTTGTTGAAAAGGACTCGCATATTATTGTTTTTTAATTGTTATTTACTTACCATTGATGTAGAAAAAAATGTCGAACAGTAACTACTTAAATGTAGTAGTTCCGCTCTCCGGTTGGCTGTGCTGAACAGAGTATCTCTGAGGCTACTTATGTTTCCAACCTTAATGTCCTTGATGTAGTTCTGTGAACAGTCAATAAAAAAGAAAATAATGACATTGATGTCGTTTACAAAGTAAACGTAAATGATAGATTACATCTTATAGAAATAAAATAATAAAACTACGAGTCCAGAAGATGCAGAAACAGTGAACCACTGGTGGGTAGCAGATGTTACCTTTAAACCTTTTAAGTCAGGACTCACTCTCCATAAAAGACATACTGGATGAGTAATTCCTATTTGTAAACAGATCAAATAATTAATGCTGTTAATGAAAACAAGGTCACAGTCACATCTCCACGTAAGTTAAAAAAAGGCAAATTTGTTACTTTTAATATGATTAAGATGGCCTTAATACCAAGCTAGAAAGGAACAAATTAACTCGAGGGTTATCAGCTGTAGGTATTGACAATCATTCATAACATCTCTGATAACACATGCTAAAGAAAATAAGGCTGCAAGGGGAAGCAGAATGTCGGATTTGAATAAGCACAAATTATAGAATACTTAGAATCGGTTGATCTGCCTTTTGTTACATCCACAATTGTAATCTCCAGGAGGAGCTTTCCTTATTCCGACACAATCGAAATGAAACCATTTCTTGCACTTCTCACAAAATATCCAACTCCTTGTTCTTACTTCCTTTCCTTTTGCCTGACAAAAAAAAAGCCTCACACTTTTCACCTTCCTCTTCACTCTGTTGTCTTCTTTTTCTTTTTCTCCTGCTCAAAGCAGCAGTGGACGAGGATGCAATGGCTTGAACGGTAGATGACGTAGATGGATTAGAGGCTACAATAGAGGTGGTTGATCTTGCTATTCTACGGACTACTGAAGTTGTTGTTCTAGTCGAATAGGAATCTGTAACAGAGGAGGTGGGTCTTGTTGCTGTAGATGTGATTGTGTTCGATGTTGTAACTGAGGTTGTTGTTGCTACTTCAGGGGCCGACGACGTTATGGATGAAGATTGGTTGTGTGTAGCAACTGAGGAGGTTGTTGTTGCTGCTTTAGGGGCCGATGACGTCACTGATGGTGATTGGTTGTGTGTAGTAACTGAGGAGGTTGTTGTTGCTACTCCAGGGGCCGACGACGTTGCTGATGAAGAGTGGTTGCGTGTAGTAACTGAGGAGGTTGTTGTTGCTACTCCAGGGACTGACGATGTTGCTGATGAAGATTGGTTGTGTGTAGTAACTGAGGAGGTCGTGTGTTGCTACTCCAGGGACCGCCAACGTTGCTGATGAACTTTGGTTGTGTGTAGTAACAGACACGGAGGTTGTTGCTGCTACTCCAGGCACTGACGATGATGTACTGATGCCAAGAGTAGTGGTGGTGGCACTGGTAGTTGATGGGATGGAGGCTGATTCATTCAGCCTAAAAATATATCGTTTTTCAACGATATTATTCTTTTTAATGTTCCCACCCCATAACTAGATGGGTGTCTAAGAGGAATTGAACCTATCTGTTACACTTCCAAAGATATCTTATTGTTCTTGATATCTTTATAAGGGACCCTCAAATCTGTCTTACCGCAGGCTACGCCTAGAAAAAACAAAAAACAATAGACTCAGCACCGATTCTTTGTTTTATACGAAAGAAGAAACTGGTTTGATCATGACTATTTCAAACAAAAACATACATGACGCAAATGGGACAGAGAACAATAAAGAGAACGACAAAAAAAAAAGAAGTGAATAAGCGTAAATTTGCCCTTGTAAAGTTCCTGTATGTTAGTACATCACTATTAAAGCAGTTTTTAACTTCATAGTTTTACT